ATTTTTGGCCTTATATGGTAACAACTGTTAAATCATAGCTTTATATTTCCAATCCTACAAAATATTTTGGGCTTCGGATGTATATATTTTTAATTTTTTATATATGAAAAGATATGTAGTTTTGATGATTATTAATATATATAGATATATACTATAATGTTTTATTATTCATTATAAAAACTTGAATGACAACAAGGGAATGTTTGCTAATGTTTTCATATTATTCTCATTCTCTTTTATCCCATATGAACTTATGCTTATTAAGCTTTTTCATTTATTTTCTCGATTATATATTTTCTCAAAATGAAATGTAAATGAACTAAAATAATATTTCCAAACATTACCTCAAGTGTAATTGTAAAATAACTCGTATAATATAAAAAATAAAATAAAAATAAAAACTAATGATCTTAATTACACCAAGGTTTCAATACAAACTTCGCTCTATACTAGCTACAAAATATAAATAAAGTGACCCTTCAACTAACCGATGTACTCTCAGATTTCTAACACCATTAGTTTATGCAGTGTAATTACCTTGTTACCCCTACTTCTATGCTATATAAATAAGCTTTTTTTTTCTTTTGAGTTTATTACATAGCTTTCCAGTTGCATCGACAAGTGGTTTTAGAAAAATATGTTACTTGTTTTTTGACATAAAACATGAAATGCATGATTTTTTAGAATTAGAACTATGAGAAGCATTTTAAATCGAGAATTTTGGGGTAGAAAATGAAATTATAAAATTTTAGAAAATTTTATAAAAATTGTAAATAATTTCCGGAATAAAAAAATCATAATATTTTTGGTGAAATTTTTTTAGGATGGGAACAAAATTGTAAAATTTTGAAAATGTAAAAAGTAATCATAAATAGATTTCAAAATATAATTTTTTCAGAATTTTAGTCTGTGGAAAATAAAATTAAAGAAGAAAATTGAAAAAATAAATAGGAGTAAATTGACTATAGAAGAGAAAGAAAAAGGGACACCTTTTAAATGAACTATATGGATATTTTCCTCCAAAATTATCCAACATATAGTGCAATGGTTCGCCAAATTTGAAAAGAGGCGAGTTCTCTCACATGGCTTGACGGTGGGGGGCCACATTGTTGCGATTTATAATATAAATGGGATGTATGCGACAATGTTGATATATAGTAACCGGTGGCGGGGGGCACATTGTTGTTATTTAAGCTGGGAGGGTTGCTTTTTTTATCAATATTGTCGTTATAATATATGTTGGTATATAGTAAAGGGTCGACGACGGCAACCACAATTGTTGTTATCTTGAATTTTTTATTATCTATTTTTTGTTTTCTTTTTTTTTTGTTTTTTAATAATTATTTAAACTCGGAGGAGTGATGTTTTTCTAATTTCAGAGCTTAGATCAAATGGTTTTAATGTCAAATATCTGACAACTAACAACGTTGGCCACATTAAGACAATTTTTCAAGTACAATTAACAAATCAATTCAATCTAAAATAAAAGGGAATAAAATAATATATATCGAAACAAATTACGTGGGAAAATTGGAATTTACCCTTTCATTTAAACTAATGTTGATAGAATAAATATTTGAAGAAAAAATATCAATAATAAATAATATTATAATTCGGAAAAACAAATGAAAGTGGAGGCTATATATGTAGGTACAAACCTATGTATGTGAGTAGGACATAAATAGCGAAAGTGGAGTAGTGTGGAAATAGTAAGAAGGATGGAGAGAGATGATTTGATGTAAAGGCTGCCATTATATATATATATATATATATATATATATATATATATATATATATATATATGTGTGTGTGAAAATGCGAGCATGACGTATGACCCGGTTTCAGATTTGTGTGGATGCCGATGGGTTTTCTTTCATTATGCATAGTTTTTGATGGGATTGCTGATGAGATACATGCATGACATCCATATCTCTATATCTATCTATTTTATATTGTTTTATTTTATTAAATGAAATATATATAAATTATTTATTTATATATTCTTATTCATTTATGGCTTTCCACCACATTTCCAACTACCCTTTTCACCATCTCTCAATCACCAACTTTTGGGAAAACAATACGTATTTAACTTTTTTGTATTAGTTTTTTTAGTCATTGCACGCTAAAAGATTAAAATGTGGTTTATTATACAAAAACATAGGGTAAATTACAAAACCCCCCTGAGGTATGGTGAAATGACGAGAACTCCCCTCTTGTTTGGATAATTACATATACCCCCCTCAACTATGATTTTTTCTTACACCTCCACCCTTATTGTGCCAAATTCAATATAATCATCTAGATTCCGTGTAATGTGCTCTACTTTGTATTCGTTTTGTGTAAAAATACAGTTTCCGATGCACTACAAACTGATATACACAAGTTTGAATGGTATAAAATGGGTACAAAAGTGATAATATTTCATATAATCTCGAAAATTCCACTAAATTTGAAGAGCTGAGGGGGGTGGTTGTAATTATCCAAACAAGAGGGGTGTTTTTGTAATTTGACCATACCTCAGGGGGGTTTTTGTAATTTACCCTAAAAACATATTCAACTGAGGTGTGGTTATAGCAAATGCTTTTAGAAATAGAAATAGATTACGAGATTTTTTCTCCACATAATATATATATTTAAGTATTTGTAAACAAATTTATGTTTTTTCTTTTCTTAAAATAAGCTGTTTTAAGCTATAATTTATAAAAGCACTTTACGTTCTATTTTAGCTATTTTCCAGCTAATTTACAAACACCCCAAACTTTAAAAAATAATCACTTAATTCCAATTTAATTCACAATTACTAACTTTTGCTTTTAAGAAAGTTTTTGCAAACACAACCTGAATTATATATAATATTTCACTGGTAATATTATATAATTAATCTTATTCAAAAGCAGATGTTAATAATTGTGAATCAAAAAGATCATAAATGCTTATTTCTAAAAATTAGTATATTTGAAAATATGTTGGAAAATAAACTTATCGAAAAAGCAGATCTACAGATGCCTGGGGCAAAAAAAGCTTATATTTGAAGTAGCAAAAAGAAAAACCTGATTATGAGCTAAAAAAAAATCTCAAAACTGTTTGAAAAGCTTTTAATTATTATTTCTAGCTGACATGGATTCAAAATTAAATGGGTTGCACAAACAACAAATTTAATTATTAATTATGATTTAGCTAAAAAATAAAAAATGAATTATTCCCATAAAGATACTCCCCAGCTTCTGATGATGATCTGAATCAATAGATCAGTTGGCTCGTTGTTGGGCTCTAGGCGAAAGTACGTACTGCATTATTATTTCTGCTTCTTCCAATTTTTTAATTATAATAAATACAATTTCAAATAATTAATAAATTAAATATATATTAAAAAAAAAAAAAAAAAGAGTTGGATTAACAACTCCGGCCAGCTTTACTATTACGTCCATTGAACTATTTTAGTGTAAACTGCTGAATTCAGAGTTCCACTTGTTTGCAGTCAATTGTTAGTTCTGTTCAGTGATAATAGTAACGCCACCACTCATAGAATTTTTGGCTCACTGCCACTTTAAATTATTACTCATTCTTAATTAATTAATTAATTTTTTTCGAATAATATTTTATATATGGATAATAATTTATCTATTTATTGTTTGGGCTGCCTGGGGGTGGGGTTGGGGGGTTAATGGAACAGTGGAAATGTACAATGTGTAAAAGATGTATTATTATGGATTTTGTGACCTCTGATTGAAAATAAATAGTCTTATAAATCAATCGCATCAATGAAGAGTTAAAAATCTTTTATTTATTTTTAATTTTCTATCAGGGGAAGCCTATTTTTGGGAGTAGGAAATGTTAATTATGGGTAATTACTGCTGTGTTAGCAAGTCAACATTGATATAAGTTCATGATGGACAATACCATATTCTTGATGGGTTTCCGTTGAATTTAATAAAATTTGCATCTTTTTTGTCAAAAGTAAAAGAAGTATAAGTTTTAGTTTATTTGTTATAGAAATAAATTCCATTTAATGTTAGTATAATTTTATAAATAAACTCTATATTCCTATAATATAGTTTGTAAACTGTACGAGAGATGTAAAGTACAATAGAGTAATTATGTTGGACAAGTTCGAAGGAGAAAATGTATGCCAAAGAAAATTCGGACACTACGTTATTTTACGTTCGCTAATCAAGTAATCCATTGCAAGCACTCATTCTATGAGAAGTTACATCTAATGAAGTACACTGGTTGATTTTTCATCATAGATTTATACATATAACTATTCATGGTACACATACACATGCGTGGGTTACATGTGTAGATCAATTATGTAATATCACTCTACGTATTTCACGGATATAGCATCTATAAAACATGAGCTCCAAACGGATTTTAGTTGGTAGAGTTAAGAGTATGAAGAACCTGATATGAAGTGTCATAAATAAATTAAATAAACAATGAATTATGAAATTGAACAAATGGGAATTAATTATAAAAGCCTCAAAAGTTATATAGCTCCAAGAAAAAAACAAGAATGGCATTTGATGACAAGTGAATCTACAGAAGTGGAGGGGCAAAAAATAATAAAAATTAAACACTAAAAAAATAAAATAAATAAAATAAAACAAAATAAAATAAAAGAAGAGATGGATTTACCTTGTCTCTGTCCACACGATTATTATTTAATCTTGTACTGTGCTGACAGATGAGATATGAATCAGCTTTATCGATCAATGGTGAATTCATGAAGATCTCTCTCTCTCTCTACTTTCTCTCTCTTCTCTTTCTCTCTCTCTATCTTTTTAAACTACTTTCTGTTCCTTCCCTTTCATTTTCTTCACTGACATAGGAATACCTGCACACTTCCTCACGCACGCACGCATATTCAAACAAACAATACATACATACATACAAAACCCCATCGTCTTCTTCCTCCCATCCGATCTCCCCTCTCATACAATACAAATACACATATATAATTATATAAATATATATATATATATATAGATACACACCAGAACCCTACCCACCCAGCCCCTAGTAAGTAGGCATATGGATATGATAAGGGGCGCTGCAGAGTGCAGAGTGATCAGAGGCCACAGAAGTGTACAGCCCAGAAAGTTCAGATTTATTTCTTTTTTATTTTCCACCCTTATTATTATTATACCTTAATTTTTTTTTTTTCCCTTCTGCAACGTAACTCCATCTTCGACTAATCAAATCCCCCACCATGAAAACTCCACTCCACCACCCCCGTTTCCCCCCTTTTTTCACCCAATCCCCCCTCTCTCCTCCTAAAACCTAATTTTGTTTTTTCAAGTATATATAAATCGTCACAGTGTTCTCATTTCTCTCTCCTCTCTCTCTCTCTCTCTCTCTCTCTCTCTCTCACACCACTTGTGTGTGTTGTGTGTGGGTGGTTATGTGAACGCTGTTGGTTATATAATTAATTGATTTCAGTTTCTGATCGTTAATTCGTTCAATTCGGCCTGCGAAATTGGGGAAAACGAAAAATGGAGAATTATCAAGGGTACGAAAGGCAGGAAGCTTTGCCGCCGGGTTTCCGATTCCACCCGACCGACGAAGAACTCATCACCTACTACCTGCTGAAGAAGGTTCTCGACTGCAATTTCACCAGCAGAGCCATCGCCGAAGTTGATCTCAACAAGTGCGAGCCATGGCACCTTCCAGGTATATTAATTCCTTCACCAAATTCCATGTTTTTTTTTCAATTTCTCATGAGTTTTCCTTGATAATTTTGGGGCGCACGCAGGGAAAGCAAAGATGGGGGAGAAAGAATGGTACTTTTTCAGCCTGCGAGACCGGAAATACCCGACCGGGTTGAGGACGAACCGGGCCACGGAAGCCGGGTACTGGAAAGCCACCGGAAAAGACCGGGAGATTTACAGCTCAAAAACATGCTCACTGGTAGGGATGAAGAAAACCCTAGTTTTCTACAGAGGTAGAGCCCCCAAAGGAGAGAAAAGCAACTGGGTTATGCACGAGTACCGCCTCGAGGGCAAGTTTGCTTACCACTACTTGTCCAGAAATTCCAAGGTACATCGTTAATTTCTTTTGCAGAATTATTCCTGTTATTTTTTTTTTATTAATTAATTCATTAATTTTTTTCTTCAAATCTGGGGTTTGTTGTTCACATGTTCGTTGCAGATACAACATGTTATGGGTGTTTATTAATATTGATGTAACAGTGAGCATATATAATTGAACTGGAGAAAGAAATTTTAGTGCATCATTATCTCTTCTGCTGCTGGTGCAGGTTATCAATTTAAAGCGAAGCCCTCTCCAGAAAATAAAACAAAAAAACAAAAAGAAACTAGTACATATTCATTTGCATGGTACCTTGATATCAGTATATATCAACATCTTGAAAACGAAATGACATCAACAAACCCTCTCTCTCTCTCTCTAACATCTTTCTCTCTCTACATTATTTAGCTGCTAATCTGAACATTAATCGCGATTAAGTTTTATTATTTTAGTGCCGACACTATAAGTTGATGATGGTGGTTCTTTGATGTTTACCTTTGTTTTCCCTACAGGGTGAGTGGGTTATTTCCCGAGTGTTTCAGAAGAGTGGAGCCGGGAGCACCTCCGCCGCAGGCGGTGGCGGCGGCAAGAAGAGATTTTCCGGCGGAATGACCAGCAACCATGAGGTCAGCTCTCCGTCTTCGGTCTCCCTTCCAACACTCCTTGAGCCGTCGACCGACCGCGATAGCTGCTCCTACGACAGCAGCAATATGGCCAACGCCGCCAAGGAGCACGTGTCCTGTTTCTCCACGAACGCACCACCCAGTTTCAACCACAACTGTCTCTTCGAGCCTCCGGTGCCGCCGCTGCCCAACCTGATGCACCACGACCCATCGTCGCTATCTTCCGCATCCCGTTTCCATGGCCACAGCTTGGGAGTGTCTGCTTTTCCGAGCCTGAGGTCGCTCCAGGAGAACCTACAGCTGCCGTTCTTTTTCTCCGCTGTTGCTCCTCCTCTGCCCATGCACGGTGGCGGCGGCGGCGGTGATCACATGTCTGGGTACGGCTCCGTCGGCCAGTGGCCGCCTGTGCAGGAGAATCAGAAAATGGGTGCCACGGAGCTCGACTGCATGTGGGGTTTCTAATCTCAAAAGCCGCTATTAATTAAATTTTCTTTATCCAAATGATCAAATATTATGTGTGATCTTTCTTTGTTCTTCCTCCTAATTTAGCTACGCTGTGGAATGTTTGTACCTTTGCTTATGCATGAACTCGTAGTACCTTTATTACCCTAATGTTTTCTATTAACGTTGACGATCGGCCTGCTATGTTAGTTTAAGTTGTTTTATTATCGTGATTTATAATCACCGACTTTAGCTTAAGAATTTGTGATGGCAAATTATTGTGTGTTAATTTTATTTATTATCTTATTATTTTATGCATTATTTCTTTATTTCTTGTTGGGCTAATTAATAAATTACTTATTTAAGTAATGTAGGATGGGCATTAATTGCATGGTTAAAGGTATATGTCAGTTCGATAGAGCCTCTGTGGATTCGGTTAAGTATATTAACTAGGTGATATGTTCTTGTTTCTGTAATTTGTACGATTGTTGTAATATTGGATTTTATTTGTCATTTGATATATCATCATAAACTAGTAATGCATGTGATAGTTGAATTGAATTAATTACTCTAATATAAATAATAATCATTAAAAATTGTTTGTGCTCGATTTTTATTTTATTATTATATATAAATAACTGGTGTAAAATTACGGAATCAAAATACAACGAGAGTCGAGAAGTGGAAAATCACCATCACAAAAGCATGAAACAATCAAGATAAACACATTAGCTAAATTATGGACCACAAAATTAGCGGTTACGTGTGTTGATTATTGATAACATAGTTATCTAAGTTTGAATAATATATCTTTGTTTGATAAATGCTAATTATATTCAACACAATTTCTAAAGTTGGGTAGTAGTGTACTATAAACAAAATTGAAAAATTATAATACACAATTTATAAAAAAATGATAATATATTTACAAAAAGACAGTATAATTGACTTTAATTGGGCAAAAAAAGTAATTTATTATTGCCTCAATTAAAAGTAAAATTCCACCAATAATTAATTGAAGTAATTTGGTAGGGTAATTGTAGGATTGCAACTGTTCATGTCTTAAAAAGTGATCAACTGCTTACCTGAAACACAAGTTGGACGTTAATACATTTATTACATGACGGTTACTAATTGGCGAATCATATACACGTGGCAATCATGGGTTCATAGGGCTTGTGGTCCCCAGTTAATCGTCCCTTAATGGCCGCATATTTTTCTCCGTACAACTTAATATGATGATCAATTATATATCTGCTCTTTTTGCCGGTGATGATGATGGGTCATTATCCCCACCCCAGCCTCTTTATTTTTTGTCATTTATCTCTAATTTCTAATTAAATCAATTAATTATGGTAAATTACACTAAGCCTCTTTAAATTAAAAGATAAATTACCCAAAAAACCCTCATATATTGATGTTTGACCAAAAGAATTAGCATTCGAATTGAGAGATGAATATTAGTATAGGCCTATTGATCAAGAAAATTAATATAAAGTACAAATAGAATTATAAGTATATAAATATCCTCCAACCATAACGCGATTGTAGGAAAATGAGAGAGTAAATCTCTCTCTTGCAGCGACGTAACTGTAATCCGACGTAATCTTTCATTAGGTTCGATCCCTCGAGAATGTGTCGGCGAATCGGTTGACGGCTGTTCGAACGGGATTACTAGTGCCAACGTCGAGATATTAGTAAATTACAATCATCCCATAAATACTACCAAATTAAAAAAAAAACACCCATAAAATATGGGGATCACTATTTCAAATCCCAACTTTTGCTTACTTGAATACCAAAAAAATAAAAAATAAATAATTAATTGTAAATTACTTTAATACCCTTAATGAAATTAAAACTAAAAAAATATTACAAATACTATTTTTCTTTCTTAAATACCAAATAATCAAAAACTCAAAAAACCATTTCCCTCCTTCTCCACCTCCTTCTTCTCCCTCCCCAAAAACCCTTCTAAAAAATCTTCCTCACAACAAACCCTTCTAAAAAATCTCACAACAAACCCTTCTAAAAAATATCAAAACTAAAGAAATTAAAACCTCACAAAACGTATAAAATTGAGTTATAAGACAATAATATGGTAGTATATATGAAAGGAGAACAGTG